ACGAAGCTGGTAGTTATATTTCAATTATAATATATTAAAATTATTTTTATTTTTTCATTAAAATGATTTAAAATATAAATAAAATACATTCACATATTAATCAATTATAATATTTGTGTATATATATCATATTATTGTATTATTCAATTATTCCATGTTGGAGTTATTATTAGGTCATTTTCCTTTTTTTATTGTCATTAACTATATATATTGTGTCGTGATTAATTTGTCATTTGAATGGTGCAACCTAATGGTTGGGGCGTTTTTGCTTTATCTCCTCAAGCATTGAGTTCAAACCCTACCAGAAACCGCTATTGATTCAATTTATTTTCTATTCACTCAATTGGTGACACCATTTGATTGGATGAAAAATTTATTAAATTAAATAAAAATATTAAGAAAAAACATCAAATCACATAGTGACACATGTCAACATTTAATTAAGGATTAAATTTATTGAATTAATTAAAACTTAGGATCAAATTAATAAAATATGCAAGTAATGAGGACAAAATGTGTAATTATATAAAATTTATTAACTGCCACATCATCTCCTCGGTTAATATTTTTCGGTAGGTGGCTTGATTGACAAGATTTAAATAGTTAGGTGACTTGATTAATAAAATTGAAAAATCGATGGTTAAAGTAAAAAGGGTAAATAGTTAGGTGGTCAATGATATAGTTTATACTAAAAACTAATGTTTTATAAATATTGTATTTTAATTAAATTACATTTAGATTTTTAACTAATTTATAATTATACATTTATTGCTTTATGATTTAAAGTTTTTATAATTTAATTTAATGATACTCATCGTTTACTGTACTCGTGAACGTTGATCGAGCGCTGTAGATTTTTTTTTTCTTTTCATCAATTTCATAGACTCTTTTATACTCCCTTCAAAATTTTATCCTTTAAAATCTCATAGTTAAAAATAAAATTATAAATATATTTTATAATTTTAGATGCTATTTTATTTACTAAATAACATTACAAATCTTACTTGCATGTATGAAAAAAGAATATGAATACATACATACAATTAAAGAAAGTCGTTTAAATTGAAACCAATATGTACCTTAATATTATAAAAAATTACTCTTAAATTTAAAGAAAAAACTAGAACAACTTGTCTCGAATTTTATAAACTCTATTCGACTTGATTTAAAATATTGAATAAAATAGGACTCTCTAGCTCAACTAACTCAATTTTTTATCTTATTTGACTCGACTCGATCGAATACTCACCCTACAAAAAAAATATATGAAATTTCAATTTTTTAAGTTTTTTTAACACATTATTTTTTTAACACTTTTAATTTTTTATATATTCTCTATTTGCCAATTTAGCTAATATGCGAGTCTAGGTATTATCTTTTTTTATTGTTCCTAATTTCATTGTTATTATAACCAATATTTAACTGTCCCTAGTAAATTGATTAATAATATTTATTTTGGATTTCACCAATGAGAGAGACAAAGAAAAGAAAAAGATAAATATATGAAGCATCATTCATATAATAAATGCTATTGGTCATTCAGGTGGACGATATTACTGTACATGCTGTGTCATCTACTTCGATCACTTCTAGAGATCACCTTTCTTGTCAACAATTTGAATTTCTACTTAAAGAATACTTCTTTAATCCTTAACATTGATGTTTTGCGAATGTAACCATTGAATTTTAAAGTCATTTAATTCCCAATTGGAACTTTGTATACCACGAATTTTATAGAAAGAAATATTAAGTTAAATATCGACTAAATATATATGTATTGATAAAAAATATCATTTTAACCTTAAATATTTTTATTTTGACTACTTAACTATTTAAATGAGTCAATAAAATAAAAAAAATCGAGCTCGAACAACTTATAAAGTTAGCATCATGTTTAATCACAAAAATATATACATGTTAAATTATATCATATTACCAATAAATAAAAAAAATAAGGATGTTATAAGATTTGGATATAAGACCTATGAAAAAAAGAGGATATGCCTTACCACTAAACATATATATAAACCAAGTTGTTCAAGTTCGATTCCTTTCTTCTCTATTCTTGTTCCATTTTTTTAATCAGATAAATAATGAAATTGATGATATGTGTTGTAATCAAATTGAGGATTGAATTTATTAAATTAAATTAAAATTAAAACTAAGTTGATAGAATATGTAATTATACGATTTTATTTAACTATTGATGGTTAAAAATATAATCACCCGTATAATTTTAATAGTTAATGATCAAGAGTTTGATTGAGACTTTTTAACTTTGATCGACTGCTAGAATCCAACAATAAAAATTACAGGTTAAATGCCTCATAATGTACTTTACCCAAAATCCAATGACACAATTATTCACAGCTTCAGCACCACAGTAATTTCCCAAAACAACTATTTAAAGCTTTGCTTCTCTTTCAGCATTGCCCATCGTATTAATTTTGCCCTTTCATACAAAGAACAAATGGTGAAAGTGGGCATCTTTTTCTGCACAGCCATTGCCTTCATTGTCGGCTTCTCTATCAGGGAAGCAATTGCACACACAGGAACGGCCACGTTCTACACTCCTCCATATGTTCGTAAGTCCCCTTTGCCTTCATTTCATATTCTTTACAGCTACTCGATGTCCACATATTGATATTCTGGTGTCGAAAATTGCAGCATCAGCTTGTCACGGATACAAAGACGACGGAGTGATGGTCGCTGCCGCGAGTGACGCGATTTGGGATGACGGAGCGGCTTGCGGGAGAAGATACAAAATTAAATGCAAAAGGGGAACCAACGAATCCCCTCATCCATGCAGGGGAAAGAAATATGTGGTGGTGAAAATTGTAGACTATTGTCCATCTGGTTGTCAAGGCACCATTGATTTATCACAGGAAGCTTTCGCTTCCATAGCTGATCCGAATGCCGGAAAAATTAAAATATACTTCCATCAGTATGTTAATCCGATCGAACTTTCATTGTTAATGTTACTTTCAGGCGTTGCTCCGACATATACAGTGTAACTCATCCATGTTTTTTCTTCTTCTGGGATGCAGGGTTTGAAGTATTGGCTGCTGGAATATGACATCTCCCTTGTGGATATGCGTCCAAATGATATCAATGTATTGAAAAATAATAGATTTGGTGCCAATCAATTGTCTAACAATTCAACAATAAATAAAGGGGATGATCTTTATCGATTATACTTTCATTTAAAAATTCATGATTAAAATTCACAGAGTGACTTAAGTAGTAAAAATAAAACGTGATTAGACAAACTTAGAACAAAAATAGTGAGTTGTCAAACATTTGTTTTGTCAACAAAATACAATTACGAAAGGCGATAAACAAATAAAGCCTATCAACGTCTTGGGCTGTTTCCCTTTTTGTCAATATTCTAAATTTCTAATTACACGTTTACTTTCTTTATATTAAAACAAAAAAGAAAGCGACTATATAGTCAATGAAGATACTATTAAAATAAATTATTATTATTATTATTATTATTATTAATGATGTTTTTATTAAAACATTATAAAGTTCAAAATATTTTTTATCTAAATTTTAATGCATTAACAAAAATATATTATTATATACTAAGTTTTAAAAAATATTTTGGTAAATATAATTAATATTATTAGAATAGCTATAATAAAAATCGATTATTATAATATATAATTATATCGATAATACTAATCATTAATTGATCGAGATGTTAATTCTTTTTAAGTAAAAAAATTTAAACCAAGAGAATCATCTTTATAATAAATTTTTAAAATACCGATTATATATATTCTTTACTCTATGGAAGGCCCTGAATGATTCCCCGGATTGGCCGGGGTTTAGGACCGGAAGGCTTAAAATAGAGCAAAAATCGCAGTGCAAAATGGGTGATTTTGAGTCAATTCCACACATAAAACATACCCAAGACCACTAGGGTTTATCGAAAACAAGATCCGGATCTTCTCCAACTTTCTCTTTCAATTTCTTCTTCAACATTTATTCAGACTTTCTTTTTTTAGAAGAACGACAGTCAAGCTACAAGTTCCCAGGTGCAATCTGAAGCCTCTATTAGGCTAAAAAAACCCTGTATTTTGTCTTATTAAGAAAGATAACTGTTAAACTCTTAAATCTTTCCCAGAGAATTTTCTATCATGGTAACTTGGCTGCTAAGCATCAAGCATCATTTTCTCTTGTGGAAGAAACAAACGGAAAATGAAGAGTATTTAACTGACTTCTCTCGAAAACAACTCAATTCCATTTCCAGCAACCAACAACCGGCAACTCAATTCAATTGTATCAAGCACTCAATAACCAACTTAGCATCAAACCATCAACAACGTGCAAACAGAAACATGAATAGCAGAACATGTAATCAAAGAAGATTGAAGCAGCCGATTTAAACCAACAAATTAGAGTAAAGTAAGAACACTCAAGATACAATCAACTTTCAGTAAACTAAGAAGTGTTTCGAGACTATCCAAGATACAATGACCTCATTTAAACAACAAACCGCATCAACTATACCATGATTCAATAAACTTAAGAATCATAGAGCAATGTGGAGTAAATCTAGATATCTTACCAGAAATTGAAAATAAACACGTGCAACCGTCGAGATCAGATCCAATTTGAAGAGAATCACCATATCGAGACTCAACAATCGAACCACAAACAACATACTAATCTAAAACTAATCAAGTGATAGCGTTCAGATGTGTAACAAAACTTGCAAATCGAGTAGACTATCATTTTCAGGTAATAGATAGTTTATAATATTTGTCTCAATTGTTTAAGGAAAAACATTTCATGCAGTAGCAGTGAATTTTTCCCCTCCTAATCTGGATTCTGATATTGTGATATTCCTTATTTAGAATTTAGAGTTATATATCTAGGGTCTAAATTTAAGATTTAAAGTCCAAAATTTAAAGTTTAAAGTCATTTAAATATGTCAAATGACATTTAGATAGACATGAATATGGTGGAAACTAGGAACTTATGTGACCGGTGAAGGCCGGAAGCTCTCTTAGCAAAGAAAACGTTACAGTCAAGTAAGATATTTCGTGGACAAGTTATCATAACAATACTTCAAGGACAACTAATTTCTTACAATTCAAGTAAACATAATGTAAAACCACACAATACACAGTCACACAGAAAGTAGATAGCACAGATACTCTGGTCCAGGAGAAAGGAAAGCACAAGTCAGACTCTTTATTCGAGCTATTTTGTCTGTACTTGTGGGTGCCTTTAACATCAAGGATCACAATAACTATTCGTAAGACCACGGGTCCAGTTACAAGCTTCACGTCGCGCTTCACCTTCCGCTTGTTGCCGCACTTGAGCTTCGTATGATTTCTGCCATGACTGTGAATTAGTCGGTGTCGGCGGAGAATTCCCCCAAGATTGTGCTGAATTTGTATGACTTCTTCTCACTCCCGCTTTGGTTTGTCCATTGTCTCCTTCTGCAATTCCAATATTTTTATATAACCACAATAGTATCTTCTAAGTAACGTTTCGAGTTCGAACACTAATCGAAAGAAAGTTATTAGATATGTAAAATCGATCACGGTACCTTCATAATCATAATCCTGCAGTAGTACACGTGAGTCAGTTCCACAAGGGAAGAGGACGAACGATGCCAAGAGAAAGCAACAAAGGATGAGAGCAACTGAAGGGTTGTTTTCCATAATTTACAGCAAACGTTATTATTTCAGCTATTTGAGTATGCGCTTTTTCACTTGGCGACCATCCTTCTTATAAATCTATTGCCTAAATCGATATCTCAATCAACCCCATGACCGAGTTGTTTCCCTTTTTGTCAATATTCTAAATTTCTACTTAGCTTTTAGTTTTAATTAAAATCCTGTGATTAAAAATCTTTGAACATTGCATTTCTTTACTCAATGGACGGCCTAAAATGATTCCCCCGGGTCGGGAAGACTTTAGGATTTGAAGTCTTTAATACGGCCATAATTGCAGTGCAAAACGGGTGATTTTGAGTCAATTCCACAAATAAAACACAAATACTTCGTTATCTGGCTGCCCTTGCCTTCACGCTCGCCATGCACGTGATGTTGAATTTTGAATATAATAAAACAAAAATTTTAACGATATTTTTAAAAAATTAAATATATTTATAAAAATTATAATATTTTAAGAACAATCATTAAAACTTTCACTTTATATATTTTTTATAAACTTATTAATTAATACCACGCACTCTACAATATCAGATCAATTCTCCTTGGTACCATCATGTACCATCATGTTATTATCTTGCATGTTGAATCGTGACAAAATCTTCTTCAAGTAATTCTTTTGTGAAAGCCAAATCTTCCTATTATTTCTGTCTCGGTGAATTTGCATCCCTAGAATCTTGTTTGTTGATCCCAAGTCCTTCATTTCAAATTCCCTAGCCAGTTGTGTCTTCAATTCTTCAATATGATCTTTGTTGGGTCCTGCAACCAACATGTCATCCACATACAACAACAATATAACAAAATCGTTATCACTAGACCTTTTAAAATAAGCACAAGGGTCTGCATTAAGTCTGTTGTATCCAAGGCACATAATGAAGGAATCAAATCTCTTATACCAACACCTCGGCGCCTGCTTTAGACCGTACATAGATTTGTTCAACCTGCAAACCAAGTTCTTATTTTCTTTTTCTTTAAAACCTTCAGGTTGGAGCATATAAATCTCTTATTCAAGATTTCCATGAAGAAAAGCTGTTTTAATATCTAGTTGCTCTAGATGTAAGTTCAATGTAGCACACATTGCCAAAACTACTCGAACTGTTGTTAGTCGAACCACAGGAGAAAATATTTCATTGAAATCAATACCTTCTTTTTGAGCATATCCTTTGACCACCAGTCTTGCACGATACCTCTCAACTTGATCATCACCATTTTGCTTGATTTTGAAGACCCATTTGTTACCAATTGGCTTCCTTCCTTGTGGTAGTGGCACAAGGTCCCATGTATTATTTTTATGAAGGGCTTCGATTTCTTCTTGCATCGCCATCATCCACAGTGAAGCATCTGAGCTGTTTATTGCCTCCTGGTATGTTGATGGATCACCGTCCTATGTTAAAAGACAGTATGCAATATTACCTTCTATAACATAATTTGAGTGCCAATTGGGACGTCTTCTCACACAATCTGATTGACGAGTTGTTGGAGCTTCAGAACTCTCTGGTCTTGTTCATCATGTGGTGGTTCTACTTTAGAAGAATCTCCTTGTTCAAACTCCTTTTCCACATGTATCTGTGTAGTCTCTGATTTTTCAGCGCTACCATCTTCTTCTTTTATTTGTAGCTTATCTTCTACAAAGATAACATCCCTGCTAATGATCACTTTGAGAGCTGTGGGATCCCACAAGCGATACCCATTTACACCATCAGCATACCCCAAGAATTTGCATTTCCTGGATTTTGGATCCAGCTTTGAGATTTCTTGGGAGTTGTACATCACGTACACAATACTTCCAAATACATGGAGGTTTAAATAATTAGCTGGTTTACCAGTCCACATCTCCATTGGTGTCTTCAACTCTATTGCAGTTGATGGAGCTCGATTCACCAAATAACAGGCGGTATTGACTGCTTCTGCCAAGAATGATTTTTCTAGGCCTGCATCCCTCAACATTGCTCTTGTTCTTTATAACAAGGTTCTGTTCATCCGCTCTGCCACTCCATTTTGTTAAGGAGTGTTCGCCACTCTGAACTGTCTTTTGATGCATTCTTTCATGCAAAAGTCATCAAATTCTTCGCTTGTGTATTCTCCTCCATTATCTATTCTGAAACACTTGATCTTATTTCCAAAATCAAGTTCCACCCGCGCTTTGAAGTTTTTGAAAGTTGAAAACATATCTGACTTCTTCTTAATAGGGTACACCCAACATCTCTTGGAGTAATTATCAATAAATGAGACAAAATATTTTGCTCCACCTAGGGATGTAACTGGTGCTTGCCATACGTCAGAATGAACCAATTCTAGAACACTTTTGCCTCTAGAATTTGACGTGTTGAATTTCAACCGGTGCTGCTTACTTGTTATGCAATGCTCACACAAAGGAAGTGTTACCTTTATTAAGCCTGGAAGTAGCTTTTTCTCCACAAGAACTTTCATTCCTTGTTCTGACATGTGTCCAAGTTTCTGATGCCATAACATTGTAGAATCTGAACTACATGAGGCAACATCTTCATGATTCCTTTCCGTGTTTCAATATTGCTTGCATTATTATCCAACAATCCGTAGGATAATAAATTTTTCTTTAGGCCTTTCACGTGCCGCACATCTCGAACAACTTTAATTGTTCCATCGTACATCTTCAATTTGATGGTTTCCACGCCAATGATCTCTAAGGCATGATCATTGTAATAATACACAGATCCTCCTGAGACAGGTTCATAATGATGAAACCATTCTCTTCTTGAGGCCATGTGATATGTTGCTCCTGAATCAATGAGCCATATATCTGCAAATCTTTTTACGCCTTCCACGGTGGTTGACGCTTCACAGCATAGAGCATCTCCATCATCTGAAGTGTTTGCGGTATTGCCTTGTGGATTGGAGTTTTTATTTAGACTCCAACAATCCTTCTTCAAGTGACCATTCTTTCCACAATTGTAGCACTTTAAATTCTTCTTTCTTCTTGACTTCGATCTACCATGTTTGTGATTGCTGCTTTGGCCACGTTTTGTTGATCTCCCTCTCATCGTTGTCATCGTTGTCAATGCTTCTGCTTGTTGTAGATTTACTTGTCTGTCTTCATTGTTCTTGCGTCGATTTTCTTCTTGTAGAACAGCAGCTGCAACGTCATCGAAGACTAGATTGGTGACATTATTGTTTGTCAAGTTGATGATGAGTTGATCATACGAATCCGATAGACTTTGAAGTAGAAGTTCAACACGTTCTTGCTCTCCTATTTTACAGCTTAAAGATGTAAACTGAGAAAATAAAGTGTTCAGTGTATTTAAGTGCTCCGTCACTGAAGTAGATTCTGGCATACGGAGAATGTATAATTTTCTCTTAAGGAAAATTTTATTGTGCAGCGATGTGGCCTCGTACAATTTGGTGAGATGATCTCATATCTCCTTAGCTGTCATTTTCTCCTCGATGTTTGACAATACTTCATTTGCTAATGCTAGATGAAAGTTTGTCATAGCATTCCCGTCTATTTCGATCCATTTGTTGTCATTTGTGAAATCTACCGGCCTTTCACTGATAGCTGCTAGACAACTGTCTTTCCTCAGGATGACCTTCATCTTCAATTTTCACAATGAGAAATTTCTCCCATTGAATTTTTCAATATCAAATTTCGTTGCCATAGCTTCTTTTACAGATAGCTCCCACTATTTCACTATCGTGAATAGTTCTCTGGAACCTTTAAAAAATGGGTAATAACTTCTTACTTTCTTATGTTGGAGGATCCACCTTTTGGTGGCAACCACAAAGACAATAAGCATATATTACACACTCTAATCTAGCTCTGATACCAATTATTGCAAAAGACGGCTATCGGATAGAGCAAGATCGCAACTGATAATTTGAGAAAATAAAGATAAAAGAGACACAAAGTTTACGTGGAAACCTCCTAAATTATATAGGGTAAAAACCACGGGCAACGGTAGAAGAATTTCACTATGAGAAAATAGGAATTACAACTTCTCTCGATCTACCAAGGAGAAAACAATGATAATTCTCTCTTGATAAAAAAGAGAAAACAACTCTCAAGAAACTCTCTAAATTCTCTAGTATTGGAAGAAATCTAGAATGCTTTGGGATGGTTTTGAAGCTAAATGAGTTAGGATATTTATAGTTGAAGCTTTAAGGACTAAATTTATAATACCCTAAAGTTCAATGACTAATTGTATAGTTTTACCATCACCAATTTTCAACAATTTATGCACCTACCATTCAGCCTACTGTTATTGACTTCATTTATTTTTTCATGCACTTTCGGTGCATGTGCATGGTTTTTCAAAATGAGACTTTAAGGTTTAGTATTAAAGATTATGACCGGAAGAGCCTTGGTGTAAAGTTAACTCCGACAAAGCGAGGAATATCACCATGAGGTAAACCACATGTGGAGGAGTGATTAGAGACAATGATGGGGACTGGAGAAGGGGTTACCGAGGAAGATAGGTTTGTGCTCAATCCTAGAAGCTGAACTTTGGGGTGTCTACGAGGGTCTGCGGCTAGTCTGAAAACTGGGAGAAAAACAGGTAATATTAGAGACGGACAGCAAGGAGATAGTCAAGCTGATACAGAATATAACAAACGGAGGAGGGCACTTGACGATCCTACAACACATCGATAGGATCATCAGTAAGGATTGGAGAGTACACATAAAACATGCCTTGAGAGAAGGGAATAAGGCAACTGATATCCTACCTAAGTATGCATGGACCCTCTCAAATGATCTACATGAGTTTGACAAGCCACCTGAGGTGGTAGCCGACGTAATTAGACTGGAGAGCTCAACCCAAAATTAGACTAAGGTTCTTTAAACCCATGTACTTCACACACAATTTTTTTTTTATAAAAAAAATTAGGATTTAAGATTTTAGTTTTAGTGAATTTGTATTTTTGTATCCTATTGGTTGAGTGACTCAACTTGAGTCATATAAATTTATTTTTAATCACTCCGTAAGAAATCGATCTTTATATTGAGTTAAACTAATTTCAAATTTGACTGTGTTACTAAGATCAACAATATTCTAATAAATAAAATTTTCATAGCAA